ATACATGTATAAATAAATAAACCTAATTACCTACCCCCTACAAAAAAATTGACAAAAAATAAGCCATATATATGACTATGTTAATATGTCATGTGCATCATTAAATGTCTATAAAATAGAAAATATAAAAGTACGAGACTAAAAATGAATGTAAATACAAGTTCTAATATTTTCTCTCCACATCCTATGGATGACCTCTTTGCCTTTGCACAGGCTGGTCCCTCTTTTGAGAATTCCCTTCCCCTTTGTCCTTTAGTACAGTCTTCCACTTATCTTTCAAGATCCAGTTTGCATACCTCTTAAGACTCCTCTAAATATAGAACTTTCTGCCTCCACGATGCCCCAAGGGGACTAGGTAGAGGCCTCTACCTTTACAACTGCCGTGCTCTGTGATGTTTGGATGTCTCTCTCCCCAGTGGGCCCAGGACCACACGGAGGGCAGCACCCAGCATAGGACCTGGCTCATGGTAGGTCTGCAATAAATGTTTGCTGAATAATGGAGTGAGGGAATAGAATAGTCAAAATATCTAAGGAGCAGTACAGCAGTGGGATGGGGGGATAAGAGGTGGGGAGGATCTGCCTGAAGGGTCCCAATTAGGAGAGTTAACCCTTCAGTGGCTGAAGTGAGGGAAGCCAGGGTGTGTTGATCAGCTAGGGCAGACAGGCACTCTGGTATGGCCATACCACTGCGTAATGACTACACCTTATTCAAGAATGGCAAATTCCTACAAACCTGACTACCCAAGGGCTTAGGGACTTTTTAAAATAGTCTGAAGAGCAGCATCTCTGTCTCGGCTGCAGAGTGAACTCCAGCTGCCCTGCGTGGGAGTGGAGGAATAGATCCTTGTGCAAGATCCCTCCGTTTGTTACTCACTGTCTGGACCTCAAGCACTGGCCCCTTTGAACCTCTGGGTCAAGATAAGCACAATGCTGCATGTTCTCCTTTGAGCATCATGGCAGATCGGGTGGCGAGCAGGGCAGATATGAAGGAACCCACTTGTAGGTGGAGGAAATGGAACCAGTGAGGCTGCATGTTCTGACCAAATTTGTGGAATAGGGACTGACCCCAAGAAGTTCTCAGTCCTGACCTAATGCCCTTGCCACAACCTCAGGCTGCTTGTGGGACTGAGGCAAAATATGCCAAGGGTGCTGATGGTGATCTGCCAAGAGGGATGGGCAGAAGGAAGGGCAACAGCAGTGACTGCCCCTGCACAGCCTGGAGCAGGGAGACGCAGCCTCATAGCAGGACATGTGGCTACCAAGTCCTGCCTCTTTTTGGCTGGGGAAGGAATTATCCTGTCCTGGCCATCCCCACTCATCATCCCTGCTTGTCATGGCAGCCACATTTTAGGAGGAAGTGGTTGGCTCTGGTAAATCCCTGCCCAGCCTGACAGACCTGAGCAGCCAGTTTCTTGAACTCAGGATAAACCCAGAATCCCAGCCTGCTGGTGGTAAGAGGAAGTACCAGGCCAGCATGGTGGAGGTGATCTGGGATCATCTGGTGGGAGGTGGTAGAGATAAAGGAAGCCAGAGGGCAGAGGGGGAAAGATGACCTCTTACCTGCTCTGCAAATCCTAGATCAGTTCACTTCTTCCATGAATCCTACCCTGATCACTTAGTGCCCACCAAGCTCTCAAGTATAGAGGAAAGTGCTTAATTCTGCTCTAATCACTGGGGCAAGTTATTTGTGCCTCCTCTTGTATAGTACTAACTGGGGGCATCTTTGTACAGCTATTTGGGCCAAATACTGAGCTGTGTATACAGCAAGTACACAGTATATGCTTTGATTAGCTAAATAAATTGAAAGAATTCATTTATTCATCCATTCATTCGCTCAAAAAATCATTAAGAACATCTACCTTGAGCTAGGCTCTCTTTTGGGGCCCTTGCCCTCGGGGGCTGACATTCTAGTGTAAGGAGACAGACACAGATAGATAAATAAACAGATAATGTGAGGCCAGCACTAGGAAGAAAGAGCAAGTGGATGGATGAATGAATGAAGTAAAGATCGGGGAGAGGAGAAAGTGGATGAAGGGCCCAGGGAGAGAGCTCCCATCCTCCTGCCATCACCTGGGAGGACAGGTGCTCTGCAGAGTCTGGGCCCCGCCTGAGGTGGGGGCAGCCTGCTGCCCTGGCCTTTATGTTAGCTGGAGAGAAAATCTTCTGGGAGGAGATAGCTTCCCTAGGCTTTTGGAACAGTGACCATTTCCCCACACAGGCACACCGGAAATAAAACTGCTGGCCATTCAAGGGAAAAACAGAGCTCAATCCACCACTAAGACCCAGGGCAGCTAGTGAAGGAGACAGCCGCCTTGGGACATTCAGAAAAGGCCAGTAGCATCAAAATGCTGCCAAAGAGGCCATTTCCCCCAAGGTCAGGGGTGATCTGGGGCTACAGGCAGCAGAAGAATCTTCTCTTCCTTCCTTCCTTTCTTTCATTTCTTCATTCCTCCCTTCCTCCCCCAATGTGACCATCCCTGGCCACTATGCTTACATCACATTCCCAGCCCTCTCTCTTTCCCACCTCCCATTTTATTTTTCTCCATGGCACTGATCACCCTCTAATATGCTATGTACTTTACTTATCTATTGTGTTTGCTTTTGTCAACATCCTTGAAAACCCTGAATTCCAGTTCCATGAGGGCAGGGGTTTACCTCTTTTGCTCACTGTTATATCCCAGCATCTAGAACAGTGCCTGGCACACAGTAGGTGTTCAAACCTACTGTGTGCCCCTTATTCACCCCTTCCTTCATCCTTCTGAAATGCTCCCTGAGTGCCAACTCTGGGCCCACACCGTGCTGTGGACAGGGGGAGAAAGTCATCCATAAGACTTCACTCCTCTCTTAAAAGAGCTCCTGGCCCCCATGGCAGTGGATGACTCCAGACACCTGTGTGCCCCACCACTTCATCCCCAAAGTTCCCTAGCCCTTGCCTCCCTGCCCTCCATTCACCCCCTCCATCTATGCTTAGATATCTTTCTCTGCAACAGTGAGTGCACAAACCTGAAAGCAAACCTTCCTTCAGGCTCTGCCCAGAATGGACAAGCCGTGTGGTGTAGTGAGATCACACAACCCAGAGTCTGAATCTCAAGCATGTTCCCTGGCTTCTCTGAGAACTCAGTTTCTTCATCTGTAGGATGGGGCTCCAGTATCTACCTTGCAAGAGTTTCACTGAAATTAGATATCTAAAGGGTTTGGCCAAGGCAGGCAGTAATGAATGGCCCCTCTTGCTGGTATTGCTCCTGCGGTGTCTGGCTGTGTCTTGAAGCAGGCTGCTTCTCGTGACACCCTGGTGCCCCATGCTGACACAGAGGAGCCACACTCCAGTTCCCAGCCCCCTGATGGGGCACTCAGTCAGCCTCAGGTGTTCTCTACACAGCATTCATCACTTTTACAGATCTGAGATTCAAACTGGCAAAGGGGGAAGGGTTAGAGTACATCCTTATCACGCACAAGTTTGTGGGTTAAACCCCCAGTGCCTCCATTTAAATGACTAACTAAATAAATAAACCTAACTACCTCCCCTACCAAAAAAAAAAACCCAAAACAAAAACTTCCACAAACTGAAAATGATTTTTTTTAAATCCAGCATCGGTGAGGGTGTATGGGTGCCACTCTCACACCTGGCTCACGAGGCATGAAATGCTTAGTTTAGGAAAATCTAGCAATATGTACCAAAACAATTCAGCTTCTGGGAATTCACTGAAACCTGTGTAAAGACTTATGGACCTGGATGTTTATGAAAGCGTTATTTATAACAACAAACAAAAAACATACAAACAAAAAAATAACCTCATTGTCTAACACTAGGGGATTGGCTAAATAAAGCATATGGTATATCCTGCCATTAAGAATGATGTAGAAGAAGAAAATGGGAAGATGTTTACAAAATATTAAATGAGTAAAGCAGCTGTAAATCATTATTATAGTATGAATCTTTCACCCTCAGTTTTTCATATTAGGGTTGCCTCTAGGTGATGTGATTACAGATGGTTTTTCGTTTCTTCTTTGTGCTTTTCTGCATTTTCTTTTCTGTATTACCTTTTTAAAAGAAAAATTAGAAAAATCAAATTTATTTTGATAAAATACAGACTAAACATGGATTTAACCTGAATTCTATGGTTAAATTTTATCTTGACTCCTATCAAGATCACATATATTAACCAACAGATAATTCCTGATCATAGCTCAATGAACTTGTGAAAAATTCTTTAAACTGTTCCTGCAATCCTTTTTCTATGTTTTTTCTTGATACTCTTTTCTTTGAGAATAATTTTAGATTTACAGCAAAGTTGCAAAGATAGTACACAGAGTTCCTGCATCTCCTCACCCAGTTCCTCCTATTAACATCTTAAGTAACCAGAGTACGTTAGTCACAGCTAAGAAATCAACATGCGTGCCTCTCTGTTAACTAAACTTCAGACTTTATTTGGATTTCACCAGGTGGGTTCCATGAACATCTTTCTGTTTCAGGATACAATCCTGGGTAACACATCGCATTGAGTTGTCATGTCTCTTCAGGCTTCCCCGGTCCGTGACAGTTTCTTGGACTTTCCTGGTTTTTCTTGTACCCTGCATGAATTTCGTAATCAGAAGAAGGGATGGTGGTGATGATGATGATGATGATGATAAGGATGATTTATGTCCAGGAATGCCTTCGATTTTATCTCGGTAGGAGGTAAATGATCGGCTTTTTCTTTCTCTGTTCACTGGAACAAAAGGGGAAAGGCAGTGCTGCTCAGTATCTATGGGATCCACCGAAGCTGGGGCGCCTTAATCCCTGCCCACAGCCTGGCTCTTGCTCCCGCCACTGTCCCCCCACCCCAACTCGGGCAGCCTCAGGGGCCCTCGGGTGAAGGGCGAATCCCGGGCCCGCGGGTCCCCTCGTCGGTTGGGCGAGCGCGTGGGCGGCACCCGGATCAGCTGTTCCGCAACCCGACGCGGCCGCCCCGCCCCTGCCCAGGTCTTAATAAGCCTCTCCCGCCTCGCCTCGGACCCACCGAACTGCCGGCTGCCCGCCCCGGCCAGGCGCCCCTGCAGCATGGGCTGGAACACCAATCTCCGCTGGCGGCTGCCGGTCATCTGCCTGCTCCTGCAGGTGGTCCTGGTGGTCCTCTTCGGTGTGTTCGTGCGCTATGACCCGGATGCCGACGCCCACTGGATCGAGGAGAGGTTGTCTAAGAATATGTCCAGCGACCTTGACAACGAATTCTACTTTCGCTACCCAAGTAAGTCCCGCCACCCTGCAGGCCCACCTGCGGCATATCCGAGCGGTCCCCACCGGGCTGACAGTCCTGCCTGGCCTCACCTCCGTGGCCTGTTGCTCCAGAACAACCGGCGGGCGGGAGCTGGAGGAGGGAATGCTGCCCACAGCCCCCTGCCCTGCCCCTCTTAGGCTCCCCACCAGGGGAACTCCCCAGGATCTGGAGATCAAGCTCAGGAAGTGGCCAGATGTGCACAAATACATTTCACCCTGTGAAAAGTCACCGGGGTGAGCTCACTCCAGATGCCATCAGAAACCTCCAGCCTCCCTGCCAGAGAGCCCTTCTTGATATCCTCAGAAGAGCTGAGTCTCATCATGGTCACCCACCAGTGGGTAACCCTAGCTCCCTTGTCCAGCTGTGCCCATGCTCTCCAAATTAAGGGGATAGTTCCAGTGTCAAGGGCTGTAGGGATGGCGATGGCCTACCAGCCCTGCTGCTGGGAGAGGCATGGGGGACCATGACATCTACCTTCTCTTGGCTTGGGGAGGGAGAAAAAGCATCTCTGAATTCTCTGGTATCTGTGATGCTGTGGTTAAGAGTATGGCCTTGGAATCACCAGACCTCACCTCTATCATGGCTCTGCCATTAACCACGTGGGTGGCCTCAGGCAAACGTCAACCTTGTGGAAACTCAGTTTCCTCATCTGTCCAATGGGGAAATTACTAGGAGCTACCTTACAGGGGTGGGGTGAGGCTGGCATGAGACATTGCACATGAAGTTCTGGCAAATGGTGAGGCAGGCAAGCTTGAGACCCTCCCCTGCCTGTTTCATTTCTTCCCTCCAGCTGATGGCCACAGAGCCAGCCCCTTGGTAAAGCATGAGGGGCAAGGCCTCCCATGGGCATTCCATAGGTCTTCTGTGTGTCTGGGCAGTGGAAGGTCTCAAGATCCTGAAATAGGAGCTAGAGAACCGCACCAATATTGGGCACGGCCCTCGTATCTCCCCAGCTCCTATCCCCACTCTCTCCACACCCACCCACTGACATTTCATGCTCGACCTTTATTCACTCAACAATCACTTTATCTAGAGGGTGACCAGATAATTGATCAACCAAATGACACTTTTGAGAGTGAAGAGGTAGGAGATTCATGTTAGTAGCAACTTGCCAGGACATAGGCATAAACCATGACTATCCCAGCAAACCAGGGCTTATGGCCACCCTGGACAGAGAGGTGTACCCCGACACCCCTGGCCTCAGAGGTGTCAACAGCTCTGGGCAAAAGAGATCTGTGACAGCTTCCTGGAAAGCAATGGCATGGTGAGGAGTGGAAAAGCAGGGCAGGGGAGGGGCCCACAGAAGGAGCGTGCTGGGAGAGGGGCTGAGTGGCTCGATGTGGCCCGAGTGGCTCGATGTGGCCCGAGTGTAGAGGTTGTGAGAGGGATAGGAAGGAGGCCACTACGTGAGGAAGAGACAGCCCCAGCCATCAACAACCGCCTTGAGTTTCTCCTGCCATGTCCTCTGTGCGTGGGGAGCTCTTTGTCATCTAAGCAGGAAGTGTCGAAAAGAAGAGGAGCGTAGGGAGAGAATCTTGGCCTCGGGATTCCCTGGCAAGGGCAGGAAGTAGTGGCAACAACTCAAACCGAACATGCATTCCCTCCTTTGATCATCACCACTACTGAATGAGGAAGGCAATGTTATGACTCCTATTTTACAGACCAGGAAACTAAGGCCAGAGAGGGGAAGTGTCTTGCAAAGGTCACCCAGCTAGGAAACTAGCGAGCCAGGGTAGGAGCCCTGGGCACCCAAGCCCACTCTCCTGGATCACTCTCCTCCCCTTAGTCTCACCTTTTCTCCTGCCCCACTTGGTCATGGTGGCTGTGGGTAGGAGTTGGAGGCCCATGGCCTCCTGGCCCTGGTGGGGCTCCAAACCTGGGTTCCTGGGCCTCAAGGCAATTCCCAGGGGCATGGGGTGAGGGCAGGCCCTTGCGGTGCTTTCCAGGTTCTTGGCTCCAGGCTGTCAACAGCTGTGCGGGCCTCATTTCTGCCCAGGGGATTAGTGGAGTCTACTGGGCATCTCAGTTTCCAGAGGAGTCCAGCTCCAACGGGCTCAGGTGGGGCTCGGGGGCCTGAGGACAGCTTCCCTGGTGTGGGCCCCTTGGCAGCCAGCAGGCAGAGCCAGCTAAGGACTCGCCCTGGCAGTGCCCTCAGAGGCTATGCTGCAGACACCAGCTGCTGAACACAAACTTCCTCCTGGGCTGGTGCTCTAGGGGCTGAGTCTGGGGGAGGCTGTCCTGAGGAGGGGCCATCCGAGCTCCTAGGAAGCTTCCTGGGAAGACTGAGGGGGGAGTGGTCCACATTCCCAGAAGGTGACCCAAGGCAGAGGATGCCACAGTGTCAAACACCTGAAGGACTGTTTAATGAAACTGAGGCAGTAA